TCACGGCTTGCGGTCGCGACCTCTGCGGCCCGCACGCCCCGGGGCCCCTGCTCCATTCGCCTCGGGATGAGCTCGGCGGTGTTAATTTTAAGGGTCGTGGCTCAAGAGTATCAGGTTTCAAACTGCATGATGGGGCCTCAAGTTTCGTTTTGTTACTAACCGCATACCCACAATCTTCCATGTCCATATCCCGCAGAGTTTGGACCTGCACCTTGCCTAAAGCAATTTTCCGTCAACTTCCAAGCTTTCCGACCCTGAAGCCTGAAGCCGAAACCCAATGCATCAGACATGACATGCCCCAAGCTTCTGCGCAGACTTCGACTTCTCCCGACACGTGAACTTGTCTGCCCTCGACCTCGCCTCTCGGAGAGCAAGAAGGGAGGGATTTTGTTTGGCAAGACAAAGGTGAATTTTCCAGCCTGTGGTTTGAAAGCAGCTAGGGGCTTGCATTCGTGGTTGCTGCGTGACTTCCTGCATCGCTGATGAAACTGGGGGCAGAGGAGCTGATAGTAGTCCCAAAGCCCCAAACCCTGCCAGAAGCTTCGCGGAGGATGGGATCCGCGTGCGCAAGCTGTCAGAGTTGGGCTACAAGGCTTCTGGAGACGAAGGGGAAAGCAGTAGCACCTCAGACTTCTGAAGCGTTGGTGATGGAAGCTTTGATCTTTGAGGGTTTTCGGGGGAGTAAATAGTTAAACCAACATCCTTGGTGCCGGGTTTCGGGCCGACGGTTTGACGACTGCACATATTTAGCTCGCTGACGCAGGGAAATGCATCCTATTTTTGTGGTTGCGGCGCTGTGTTGTTTCAATTCGTACTTTAAGGTTTGTTGTTTCGGTTGTTTCGTTTGGAGGACCGGGGCATGAGTCTGGGGACGCACGATCAATGCGTGGATTCTTCGCCTTGAGAGGTGTCGCCTGGTGAGATTGACTTCGGCTACTCTGAGCCCTTTCGATTGCTCTCTGAGGAATTTCACGGTGCAAGCGCGAGGAAAGGCCTAGGCGGCTGAGGTGGTGTCGTGTCTCTTGTAAGGGCTGGTTCCAGGAGTAGGCTACGTCGGTGGCAGTCAGCAGTCCACAAAGCTGATTTCAGCCGTCTGGTTTCGATGTTGTCCAACTCTGCAGGAGGGTCTCCGGCTATATCGGGAAGCGATCCTGTCGAAGCCTGTGCTGGAGAACTGCTGTCCGGCTCAAACGTAATTGGACCCTGCACCTGCACCTCGAGCCCTGGTCGAAAACCCAGCCAAGCTTGCGCGGCCCAAGCTTGCTTGCCGGTTTAGTTTTGGTTTCTTTCTTTCGTTTTCAAGCGCCCGGCTACCCCCGCGTGACCGCCAGATATTGCAATCCAAGCCGCACTCATCTGATTCACAGCCAGCTAACTGCAACTGCTGCACGCCTCTTCAGGCTACTACTCCTGCCCCATGGTGCCTCTGACCATCCGCAACATGGCTGCCCACAACAAATTCATCCGACGCTCGTACCTTTCTTGCGGGAGTCGGGCTTTCCAAGTTCTTTTGCACGGGCAGGCAGGGGCAGGGAAAGTATGGTGTTTTGTTTGAGTTCTGACCACCAAAAGTGGCTTCACGGTTTTATGAATGCGGGTGAAAAAAAAGAAGGGGTCTGCCTGGCCATTCAGGATTAGTCACTTAGTCTTCTAGTCTTCGCGAATATCGGCCCTGCGGTTGCTGTGATTCGCAGTTTTGTCTTCCAGTCCTCTCGACTTGTCAACTTCTCTGATGTCCATCGGCAGCCTCGCTCAACATTGGGAGTCTGTGGCATCCCAGAACATCCACCGGTCCCTCGAAAGACATCAACATCAACCGATCTATCTCGAAGAGCCATGTAAGCTGCTAACTCTCCCCAAAGCTTTCAAATTCGACCTTTGCAAGCGCAAAAGCAATGCCAGCTTTCAGATCAAGAATCACAGTTTCACAGCTCTTACGCAGCTGTCTCCAGAATTCCGTAGCGCAAGAGTGCCCAGGACAGATGAGCACTTCCGAGGCCATGCTACTAGCTTGCTCCAGCATGGTTGGTTGCGATCTTGCGTGGCTCGGCCAGTATTTCAACTAATGATGGCATTCGAGTTCAGTTTTGGTCTCGGCACCTATATTTTATAACTCATGGTGGGTCCTGGACAAGGACCTGCCCTGAACTGTCCGGTCGGCTCTGGGTGACGGGTTCAGAACACGCTGCCTGTTTCCAAGTCAAAACCGAGCCGAGAGGCTGAAGAGAAGATGATTGCTGCGACAGACGTTGAAGCCACCACACCGTAGATCCGGGACAGGCAAATCCCAATAACTAGTGTGATCGAAATTTCTGCAAAGAACCACAAAGTCAAGCCTCTCACATCGACCGTATTTCGACCGTGAATCGCGAAGGCCTCAGCCCGATATCCAAGTCTTATGCAAGGTGGCACCCCTTCAGGGTGGAACACATGATGACCAATATCCAGATGAAAGGGAAGGAGGCAGCGAGTGTGTGGGATTGTGGGCAGGTGGCGGTTTAGTGACACGTTGACAGAGTTTTGGCAGGCCACGAAGGTGTTCGATTGGCATCACGACTCCAACAGCTTCGTCCTGCTTGTCAATCTCTCCGAAATCCCAGAGGCTGGGAAGATTCCCTACAGTAGCCGTATCCTGCTCTGACCTCTAAACCAGTCGAAGACTTGCCCCAGAAGCTCCACATTGGGTTTCTCCACCTGATCTAGCTTTGCCGGTTCGTATTGTGGCTTCCAGGGTGGTCTATAAGGATTTAAGACGTAATTCTAATTGGACATTCATACAACTGACTGGTAGTGTTGAGCCTGATGCAGAATTGCGAACCTTTTGTCCCATGTCGAGATCCACGCCGCCTATCTCCACGCACAGCGGTGTTTCTTGCGCATTTAGACATGCTCGAGCCCAAGGACGGCCGGCGTGGCGGCACATTGATGCAGGACCGAGCATTCCAGAGTCGTTGGATGCGGAGTTGTGCACAAGCCAAAATACCTCAGCGTCGATAAGCCAGGGATCGATGGGCTATGCAGGCAACAGATTTTTGTTGACATCGCACTGTCCGAGCTCCCCAACCACTGCGGAAAGCTCCCGGCATGTTGTGGAACAGAAGACATCGGCCTGTTTGCATGCCCCAAGACCTCTTAGGGCTTTGGGTGCAGCATTTGGGTTAAGTTAAGGGGTCGAGGTTGAATCGTTCGAGAACTTTGACTCCTTGTGTCCAGCCTGGATCTTAGGACGCAGCCGGCAATGCGCATGAGGTCCGGGCACCGGGTCCTGGCTGGGCCTACATCATGCAGGGCAAGCGGGTGCCATGGCTCCGCGATCCTTCCAACTCCCTTCTCCACTCCGAGCGTGGGGCTTGCTACTTCTGATGGGCAAACAGCGGCAGATGTAGATTTAGAATGTTGCATTGGTAGAGATCAGCCCTTTCGAGGACCTCGAATATAGACGGACTAGATTGGCCCATGGGTGCGCTTGGTTTACAGCTGTATCGGGATTCAGGTGTACATAACATTTACCCTGGCTCGGGCTTTGAGAGAAGTTTGGCAGCATGTCCTACTGTCCGGCGGTCCAACATGCATCATTGGTCCAATCCCAGCGTTTGATCTGAGGTGCTGCACGCTGCGAGGCTTGGTAGCATACAGCTCAAGAGTGCTGAGTGAGCCTGCCGTGAAGTCTTGCAGCAAGCAAGGACAGAATCGAAGCTGTAAATAGTCGGACCCTTGTTTAATCCTGCACTCAGCTACAACCTTGTGCCCTACATAGGCCCTAAGTCTGCAAGTTGCACTGCGGCAGAAGTGATCTGTTTTTTTTTGATGTTTTGCATCTGAAGTTCAGGAGGTAGCATCTCAACTGTTCGGTACAGTTAGGAGCTGATTTCGGATTAAGGATTAGTGTTTTTCGCTTGTTGTGTTTTGTCGATGTTGCTTGTCGCTTTTCTGCTATCCACTTTGTGCCTTCCATTGCTTTTTGTTTCTCGCTTTCCTGCTTTCTGCCGTCGGCTGAGGTTGATTTTCGTTTTTGATTGCTGAGTCGCTTTCTGCTGTTAGCTTTCTGTTGCTGTGGCCCTTGCTTTCCGCTTTAATGCCGTCTGCTGCTCTTGAACTCTTTGCATTGTGTTTTAGAGCCCGCCCTCCAACCCCCTCCGCCTTCCTGAAACCTTGCAAAGCTTGCGATGGAAACTTCTTGCCTGCGACAGGAGAAAGGAGCCGTTGTGAGTGGAGCTGCATCCTCCCCAACCCCCCGAACACCCAACCCCACAACACCCAACCCCCGTGACCGCCCCTCCCCGACCCCCTCCGAACCCCCCCGAACCCCCCGCCCCGTACACCCGCCAAGCTATTTAAGACATGCGATCATCAACCGCCATTGCAAAATTAGGGGGTGAACTCTCAAGAGATGTCATCACAGGGTTTAACCGAGAATGCGCAACGCGTCAGAATGGGAGCTGCTGGCCAATAGAAAACAAATCAAACAAACTATATACAAAATTGAAACACGAATCAAATCAAGTCAATTCTCGAACAATTGCATCATGGAATCATCTGTGGGGTCTACAATGGTTCTTGCAGTGCTTGTGTGCCGAGATGGCGTGACATTCAGAGCTTCTTAAAATGAATGCGAGCCAAGGGATGCCAGCGAGAACTGGACGCGCATTGTCTCCGTGATCTCCTTTTGCAGCAAAGCTACGTTGGCAGCGGAGAGCCTCGAAGAGGCGCAGCCCCCCAAAGCCAGTGGAAACGAACTCACAACACCAATGTAGCAAGCTGTTTCGATAACCTTGACTTATCATTGAAGCCCTCGGCTCAAACTCAAACTTCAGCTCGACTGTGTTACGGACACCGTGCCTTGCACCCAATCCTCAACTCTTCCCTGCCACCATTCCAAACCTCATTGCTAAACCCGTGCAGCTGCACACCTTCACAGGCAGAGCGGAGGCCGGTAAAGCCTTAGGACCTGTACGGAGCTTCAGGCTTTCAAGGCTTTCCTCACCTGAGCTTGGTTTCAGGACACGGTGGATCTTCACTTGGCACGTAACTACACCGCCACCTGTCGACACTATTTGTTTGGAGCACTGAAGCAGGGTCTTCCCAGTCCAAGATGCGTGTGCTGCAATTGTCTAGGTCTAACTTGCAATTATTTCTATCTTGTCAACCCTCGACTCCCTCAACCCTTGCCCTTGCCTTCGGAAGATTCCCTGAAGTGGCAGAGCCTGGAACCCATTCGCGGCATTTGAAGTTCGTGGCTCGAGTTTGCTGAGGATCATGCTCTCCTCGACAAGGACTGGCTTCAAGAGATCAGCTGATCGGCCTTCATTGATTGAAGCGCATTTGCCAAGGCTCGCAGGTGTCATCGCATCGGGCTCTAGATCGAAAGTATGGTACATGGTGGTCTTCAAGGATGTATCGTGCCATCTGCACACAATCTGGTCATAAGTAATGTGTGTTCGGCATGCACTTCTGTGAGCACCGATCCCTCTGCCAGCTGGTATCAGTAGGAGTACGCTGCCTACCGACTCAGCCGCAGCATGGACAAGCTTAGTTTCTTGCCGCTTGGGCTTGACATCGATGGGTGCTACTATCCGGCTGCGCGTAGTGAGTCCTATTGAAGAACCTATGGCTAATCCGCATTGAATTCCAAAGAGCGTGCCTGTGGGTTGGAGCCACTGCGAAACTTAATACGTGTTCACAGGGCCAGGGACAGCAGGCTGGTGATCTGCAGTTTGGGTTCAGGGTTTTAGCGGTTCTTACAGGCTTCACGCGGCACGACAAGAAACCCAAAGCCCAATTCTGAACTTACACGCCAAAGTAAGCCTGAACCCCCCCTTTCTGGAACTAAGCTTCAAGTTTTAATCCGTCTAAGGCACTCACATCTGTTGAGCCTCCGCAATTGCTTGAAGTGGAGAGTTTGGAGCCAATCGTTTGTGAGGTTGAGACTTCATGCTTTGGGCTTTGGGGTTCGAGGATGGGCAAAATCTGCACAGTCGTCCAGGGCGTTGTTGCTGCTCCAAACCCTACAAATACCAGCTTGAAGCACGAAACCGTTGGGACCACAGACGTGAAAGTCTTAAAGTCAAAGCCGGTTTGCCAGCGACTTGTTCCATCATTTTTCAAAACTTACCACGTGCAGAACTGGAAACGCAGACAGTCAACAACCTCAGCTCAGGAGAGACAGACGCTCGAAGCAAGTGTCTTCGGGCTGTGCGTGGGAAATGCCATGTGCTTGAAGGCGTTGGTGTAGAAGTATAGTTCAGAGCCGTGGGAAGGGCTAATTTCGAAGGCGTCGGCAACCACAGGGCCCACTACTGATGCTGTCCCAACGTTGCTTTAATTGGTCAGTCTTGGGGTCGATCGCAGATCTTCCACAGTCAATCCCCGAGCCCAGCCAACAGCAGACCTCACAGGTGTCACATATGAGAAGCATGGTCACACGAAGAGGATCTATCTTACACGGAGGGCTACATTCCCAAAGCCCAAGGGTTGAGGCCCCCCAAGCTCGAAGCTGACGCAGTTCACAAGGAGTTGTTGATGCTCCACAGCGGAAATGGTAGCCCAGGATTCTTAGATGAGGAAGCCAACGACTTCTCAAGCGACTGGGCTGCAATCAACTAACTAGGCTCAGTCAGGGCTCCATCCGGGTGTAGATAGCAAGTTTTGTGGAGTGCGAGTTTGCCGCTGTTCTTGAGGGTTCTGCTCGGTTGAATTGTGGGCGCGAGACCGCAACCTCTTAGCCTGAACCAACACCACTCCTCCGCAAGTCTAAAGTTCGGGGCTCGGGGTAAGGACGAAGAGTTGGGTTCCTTGCAAACTTTCCTTTTGTTTTGGGTTTTTGGTTTGGGCTTGCGAGCTCGAAAGACCGGGACCTGTGTGGTGCAAGTTTGGGATGCTTCGACCATCATTTACACCAACACTTGTCTCCGCCCCGACCACCATCAGAACCAGCTGTCGTCACAGGTCTGGCGCGGCGAAAAGATCTCGTGAGGCCTGGGGCCTGGGGAGCAGACAATGATTCGGCCTTAGACACCAAGGCTCTTTCAGCTCAGCGGATACTCGCACAGCTCGCATTAAGAGTTTGGATTGGCGAAATGCATTCGGCCTTCTCCCTGGCCCGGAATAATGAATCCTATGCAGCCTACACCCACCGATCTCCCTCCGGTCGTTGCAAGCAATGCTCGCTTTACCCTTCTCGAAATCAAAAGGCTGCAGAGCCCCTCATCTGCCCCCCCCTCCATCCCCAAACACTGAACCTCAAAACCTCCAACCTAAACAGCAAGCAGCCGCCGACCGCTCAAACCCGGATATCCGGACTCGCCACGCCAGGCACCTCGAGCACCTGATCCGCAACCTTCAGATCACTTCAAGCCCTTCAGCACTGGATTGGTCGGCCCGTTGGGAGGGCTTTGGAGCGGCAGGGCTGTGGCTTTGTTTAAGGCTCCATCGCCGAAAACCTCGCGCTTGCCGCTGTTTTCGGGGAGAGGTGCGGGGGTACGTAGCATCCATGCCCGAACCGTGATAACGTCCAGTCTGACCCCATGCTGTTCGCGGAGCATCCGTGCTCGAACCGTGATAACGTCCAGTCGGAGCCCATCCTGTCGCGGAGATAACGTCCATTCGGACTCCATCGTTACCGCAGAGCATCCATGCCCGAACCGTGCTAACGTCCACTCGGACTCCATCCTTTTCACCTTGGCGACATAACGCCTTCGAGGGGAGCCTGGGTACATGACCGCACTCAACGCCCTGTCTCTGTACAGAAAGGACCAGGTTTAAGGACTTTGGGGTTGGCCTGCAGGGCTGTGGAGTTTTTGGAAGCCATGACACCTTGAGCTTGTGGACTTGTGCTCGTACCTTTGACGTTCTGGGCGAATGGGACGGATTGTGGATAGGCCAGGCTTCAAACACTAGTTGTGTGAAGACTTATGATGTCATGGAAAGGTTTGCTGTGTTCTTATACAGAGCTCTTCATGCTTCGTGTGGTGTGTTTCTTGGTGCCCCGTGATTCTTGTAGAACACGTATATAAACCTCACATTGTGCTCTGTCCACGGCCACATCTATATCGTGAAACAGCAAGATGCAGACAGCTGTGTCTAAGAGGCCCATAGCAAGCATCTGCATTGACCTTCGCGAGCTAATGCCATTGCGCTACCTCGCCGATGCAGGGCCTCCAAGATTAAACGCGGAAGAGTAGACTGGCCATGAATAAGTTGCCCCACATCCTACAAATCTCCAAAACCCTAAAGCTCGGCAGCATCAGAGGAATTTCCCTGACACCAATTAAGACGTTCTCGACACCTTTTCGACCTGCAACTACAGAAGATCTGAGGCTCATTACAGATGCTCACGGACTGGGAGCAGCCACGGCCTCGGCCCCTCCCGGTGGACGAGGCAGGTGAACTACATGAGCCAAAACAATTGGCATTTGCATAAATTTTGGTGGGCCTGGTCGTCTTGGTGATTGAGTGATTATGTAGTCCCGGACCGCATACGAACAGCTCCGGCTTCTGCGATTGGTAGACCCGTGACGATCCGCGTCTCCGTTTTGTCCGGCTGTTGCATCAGGCCAGTACAGTGCAGTGCCTGTTTGCCGTTCTTGCTGCACAGTGGTCTCATGGGAGGTTGAAGTCCAGTAGGACAGCTTTTGTGCTGAGCCGCTCTCGTTCCCATGGCACTGTGATTTACGAGCCGACTGTTCAGTTAGAAGGCATCGTGCAAGGCTGACATTTCGGGGCTCTTTGCACAGGTTAAGGCTGCTGTTGGACAAAGAGCTCAGGGCCTTGAGATCGTTGATCTCATCAACCGAGGATTTAGTGGCCTGGATAAGGGACAGCACGGCGTTAATTGACCTGCAGCCCAAAAGCCTGGGAAGCAACTGGCAACCAACTTTCGCCCGGAAGCTTTCATGCAGGTCCCGGTGACCGAGATCGCATCTGCCTTCAATTTGTGCAAGCACCGGCAACTTCATGGCTGTTGACAACAATCCCGAGTATGCTACTGTGATGGTTATGTCTACTCGGTTCAGCCTCTACATGGTCACGATGGTTCAGGTGTTTTTGTGGATGACACCGTTCAAGCTTATCACTCGTATCGTCAGCATATAAGCTATCCTCACCCACGCACCGCGACCCAAGCCCCAGCCCCACCTTACTGCGCCAAGAATGAAGTCACGGTCCCATCACGCACAGACAGGTGTTGCCCAGCTGTAGTGAGAGACTCAGAAGGCATCCCGAAGTCCAAGTTTCCGAGGCCCATCATCAGTAGGCACCTCATGTATCTTGAACCGACAGTAGCAGACCCCTGGGTGTTTTTGGAAGCGAAGCTTCCTTTTGCTGCAGCGGCACAAGAAGCGCAGCAGCAAGTCCGGCTGAGGGGATCCCGGCGAGGGCCGACCTACATAGGCTTCTCCACGTCCCGAAGCAGATTGTTCGCATATTTCCACAGGGTGTAGGTTCACAGTTCACAGTGGCACACCTTTAGCGCCGGGTTGCCGTTGGTCTTAACCCAGTATCTGCCACGAATGCATGCACCTTATACATCATATGTCCAAGGTCAACGGTGAAAGATCACGGTGTGCTATGTTTACTCTCAACGCCTGAGTTTCCGAAGCTAAACGACCGTTACATCGAAGCTAGACATCAGGATCCTTTTTGCAATTTTGTTTGTGAGTGCGGGACCCCTGCTTTTGCAATGGCCAAATAATACATATCTACGGCAACCGGCAGAGTTGCAAACAAAACCAGTGGCAGGACCTGTGATTTTACCAAAGCTCCACAGGTGGATGTTTTTATATTTAAGCTTGCTGCCCGAAGCAGCCATGCCCACGTTTCATTCGTCCTGCAGGCTCTGTTCGCTGGCCTCTCTTTCTTGGATCCCTCCTTGCATTTTTGCCTGGCTTGCCACAAAGGCCTTGCCTAGTGGTTGCTGCCCGCACTTGACTTGCTTAGCTGAAGCTCAGCCCTCGACCCAAGGCGCCCATGTTGATTCAACTAGGGATTGGGGTTCGGCATTGCTTGTGGGGCCTGTAGATTGTGATCGTGCTAGTGGGGCTTACATTTTCAGATTGTGGGTTGCTGAGTTTGGGCAAGTTACGGTGTCTAAGCATGGAGATTGTGATGCAGCGGTAGCGCGGGCAGCCGCCGAAGTGTTTGCTCTTCTTTCCTGCACGAAGTGCTTCTCGTAACCCTTCGTCGTCAGCCTGTGTGTCAGGAATTAGTAACCTGGCGGCAACCTGAACCTGGAACGTCTGCCTGAACTGCAAGTGGACACATAAGAGACTTGGGCTGTTGACTTTTCTCATCACGAGTTTAGATCGTGCTTCATTCAATTTTGCCAGCTGCTACTTCTTAGTGAGCAAGTCTGTTCTCAAACTATAGTTAGTTTGCAACTCCTTTTATCAGCCACCAGGCAGATGCCGATTGAAGCATTTCTGGGAATGCTGAGCATGTGGAGTAAACGGTAACCCCTGCCTGGGTGCAGGGCTGCTGTGGAAGGGTTTAATTCTGAATGCCACTAGTTGACGGACTGCATGCGGAACGTCTTTTGCTATAACACCCCTCCCCCACTTCTTGAAGCTTTGTAAGCTTTGTCTACACTTCGTAAGTAGCCCTCGAAAGCATGTGCACATGCAAGTTTCTTTCAATCCTCTCACCCGGACAATTTTTACTGGATGTCAAATCGCATCCAACGAGATGCCATCCTCGGTGGCCGAGGATGGCACATGTTTGCATGGCTTCCGAGGTCTAGTTAAAGGCTATAGCCCTTCACGAACCGTGTATCCGAATAATTGAAAGCGGCTCTCGGGAGAGCGGCCCAACCATAATCTTGTGAAGCCCTACGCTGAAACCGCGAAGCTTTCAATTCCAAACCCTCCTACCCAAAATACACTCTGGCCCACGGTCACGAGATCTTTAGTTTAAACTGCTGACTGATCCCTGCGTGCTGCAACGCTGCAGGACGTTTCCCCAGCTTGACTTACCAGGCGGGCTTGCCGCAGGGTGTGGCCAGCCGATGAGAGGCAGCGCCAACGGGAAGAGCCTCCGGCTCAAGCCGCCGACCCCGCAGGAGTGAGAGAAAAAGACCTAGACGGTACTTGTTTCTAGGGCGCCGAAGCTTAGCCAGAGCAGCAAAGCCATGGATCGGCGAACGCTCATGGAAGCAAGGGCGCAGGCCGAGCCCGGGAGTACAGGTAGTGGTAGTAGTAGTCGTTGTCGTCGTGGTCGTGGTGGTGGTGGTGGTAGCAGTAGTAGTAGCAGAAGAAGAACCAGTAGTGGTCGTTGTAAATAAAAAAGAAGGGAGGAAAAGAGGAGAGGTAAGGGGGAGGGAGGGAGGAGAGAGGGAAGGGTGACAGGAAAACAGACAAGGTGGGGTGCCGCGGGTACCCATCCCCCCCGGTTCTCAACATATCCGAAGCATCCATGCCATCCAATTAGTAGTATATATGGTAGTAGTAGTAGTAGTAGTAGTAGTAGTCGTGGTGGTAGTAGTAGTAGCAGTAGGAGTAGCAGTAGGAGTAGTAGTAGTAGTAGTAGTAGTAGTAGCAGTAGCAGTAGTAGCAGCAGCAAAAGCAGCAGCAGCAGGAGTAGTAGTAGTAGTAGTAGTAGTAGTAGTAGTAGTCGTAGTCGTAGTAGTCGTTGTAGTCGTAGTAGTCGTAGTAGTCGTAGTAGTCGTAGTCGTAGTCGTAGTCGTAGTCGTAGTAGTAGTAGTAGTAGTAGCAGTAGTAGTAGTAGTAGTAGTAGTAGTAGTAGTAACAGCTTGCTTTAATCGCTCTTAAGAGCACATCCATCTTACTCGGTATTTACGGTGTTTTCGCAAGCTCCACTGGCCGACTTTGCAAACTCGAGCGTCGGATCCTACCACTTCTTGTTACCTCAATACTGGCCGACTTTGCAATCGTCGGATTTCGGAAGTCTTCGGGGGCGGGGGTGAGCTTGGGGTGAAGACGAAGGGGGGGGGGGCGGGCGGGGCAATGACGACACTGTAGCACTGTAACACGCACCTGCATGTTCTCGGTTTTGGCAAGATTTTCGCAATGCCCTACCATGTCCTACCACTTCTCGTTGCCTCAAAATCCGTTTGCCAACTTTGCAACCTCTGCCAGAACCTTGGTTTGACAACCGTAGTTGGTAGGGGGGGCAGGGTGGGCAGCAGTATGGTGTAGTGGTGCTAGCAGTAGTAGCGGTAGTTTTGGGGGGGTGCCCTAGGCCCTAGGCTTATCAGGCGTCGATGCATTCATACGATAAGTCCTGTGCTATCGTTTTCGGCTCATCGACGAAGACCCGTAACTTCTAAGAGACTACAGCAAGAAGCAGGAGACTGACGATGGCACTTCTGAAGCCGCTGCTTCTCTGCTCAAGGGCCCTTCTGGGGGTCGGGATTCAAGATTACGGGGTTTCGGGGCTATGAGATGAAGGGCTTAGCCTTTGGAGATTCTGTGTTTAGAGTGTAGGATATGGCTTCGGGTCAGCAGTGGCGCGGAATTGCTTTGGTGCTTAATCTTCTAGTGGGCCACAGGCTTAGCGTTCATGGTTTGCATGTCGGATGCATGTCGGAGTTTAGGGTCTATGGGGTTCTATAGTGGCTTCATGATGAACCATGAGTCCTCTTCTGTGAATCGGTTGTTGCACTTCTGTGGCTTGGCACATATGATTACAGACATTCCGGATTGATGGAGCCAGGCATCCAGGACATACAGTCAGGCTTTCTGACTGAGACTTATAGGGCTCAGGGCTCAGGGGCCAAATGCTGAATCTAGTGCCTTGAGCTACATACTGCAGACCATATTGCCGGCCCATCTCTCATTTCAGGAACATCCATGACTCAAAGGGTGTCAGAGGCTCAGCCCTGAAACCTAAACACTAAACTCTAAGAATTCCTAAACCCTAAGCCCTTACACCCAAGGCATAGGCCTCCCACTGTGGGTGGGTCTATAGCCCTTCGCAAGCGATCGGGCCGCCCAGGAGGGGCCCAAAAGTAGGTAGAATAAACACCTTTGGTGTTGGGCCATTCTTTTTACCTACTTGTGGGGGTTGAGGTATAAGGAATAAGTTTGGTTTCTGCAGACAGGCTTTCGCAGCTCCTCCCATAGTACGGTGCACTCGACACAGACTTCTTGCAAGATGCTCTCGCCTCCGCCCTATTCCGTGGCAAACCCCAAGATATACCCTAAACCCAAAGCCCTAAACGACTATGCCCCGCATATGTACCATTCAGGACCATGAGGGTCCTGGAAAACCCCAAACCCCTAAGCCCTAAGCCCTAAACTCTAAAACCCTAAACCCTTAAGGAAACCCTTCAGTGATTCAGCCCCTAGACCCTAAACCCTTAAACCTCTACTAACCCCCAAAAAGGAGGGAGTCGTTAACCCGCAGATGCCGAGGAGACCGAGATCTGCTTCCCGCACGACGAGGCATTTAGGGTTTAGGGTTTAGGGTTTAGGGTATCCCCCAGAGAACCCAATCCCCCTTAATTAAGGAATATACCTTAAATTAAAGGGGCCTAAATATTATGATTTAAGGAAAATTCCTTAATTAAGGGGTAATGGAGTCTCTGGGCATCCCCCCGGTTCAAAGCAGCGCTTTTTGCAGCACGAGTGTTTGAAGAATTTAGGGTTCGGGGTTTAGGGCAGTTTAGGGTTTCAGGGTTTGGGGAAGGGTTTAGGGTTTAGGGTTTTGGAATAGTTTGTCTTTATGGCTCTATGAGGGTTTTGTACGTAGGGTCTGCAGCATCGCGCCTTGCTTCTGCTGTGTAGTTCAATCTTGAGCCCATGGGCCTTTGGTTTGATCTCGGCTTTAGCACGCAGGTTCAGGCTTAGGGTTTAGGGTTTAGGGCAGCACCCCCCAACTACCCCCTATTATACCCTGATGCCCGCTATGAAGGACCATAAGGGCTCTATTAAAGGGTAATTGGGCGGTGCTGGCAGGGTTTAGGATTAGGATTCAGCGTTTGGGGGGGTTGAGGGCGCTGAAAGGCGGGGGG